CTTGTTATAATTAGGTAGCTCACTGAGATTTTCAGAGCAGCGAATATACACGGTGAAGTAAAGACAGTGATGAATGAACCTCTGATTCCCTAAGTGGTCATGTGTGGCTCAAAGGCATTCTTTAACAGAAATTGAAGCCAGTGTGCTACCGACTGTAATAATGATCTGCTAGAAAAACTTTCGTAAACATAGCTTAAGAAGGCCCGTGAGACGTGGGCTGAAACGTCAGACTGACCTCAGTATCATTTGCATTGTGTATAAGTGAACCCTAAAACCTGTTTTACGCTGATTGTTCAGTATGGCCGCCAACGCACGAAAGAGTTGCTCTTCCGTAACGTAATAAGTACATTATATTTCTGCCCGGTATTTTCTTTATTTGCAACATTTTCTCTCTAATTTTGAACAGGACTTGATCATTTAGTGTTTTATTCTTGTCATTGCTAATGGCTTTGTTGACAACAGCTGGTTTTTCTTTTAGGGTTTCGTGATAACTGTAACGTTATGGTGCGGCAAATTTTTGTCGGTCATCCACAGAAGGTGTTCAGGTTTGTTGTTCGATGGATGGACGAAAAGGTATTCTGTGACGTCACCGCTGTTCGTGAAACTAAAGATGAAAACACGTTGCGCTTAATCGTCGGAGTGCTGAATAGCGTCTCCAAAACGCCTATGCAGGACGATCCGGTGAGAATAATGCGAGCGCTTTTATTCATCGGTTAGGAATTAGCAAAACGGATTTGTTGACGAATTTATCTAGCACTCTAGCCTAGCGTAGAACATTTACCCAGCTCGCCACGCTGTACCGTTCTTCCTGAAAGAAATATTCATTGTGCCGACTTCACATTTAATTGGCATGCTTTACATGCGCATTTTTATATTGCGATATTCTGTATTTCGAAATTTTAGGATTTCGCCAAATTCATCGTGAAATACTTCGGCTTGGCATGTAGTTCGCTAGAAGTCATTAAGGTACGAGTTAAGGCGTTTCTTTTAAGAAATGTCTGAATCATGATAGAATTCTTATAATGGGTTTTATTTATGTACTTTAGTAAATGTTGTTTTGTCATAGTCCTCTGAGACTAACAGAGTTTAAACAGCAGAGTATTCGATACTGACGATGTTTGACCTTAAGCGGGTAAAATTTCTTAGTAAACACGGTTGAGCCACCTTTTGGATCTAAACCGCTCGTCGCACGAGTGTCGCAAACAGTGCACGGCGCAGCGAAATTTCAATGCAGCCACTCACCACTACAAACAGCGGATTAATAACTAAAAGTAAGAACGGATAGAAGGTGAATGCTGCAGGTATAAAATACCTCAATGTTAATTTCTTAAAGCATCTCTGAACACATCCGTTGCTGAATTTTCACATACAATTACATACATTTCAGTTAGATTCGCTTCCCCCTCGCCATTAATCAATGTCGCTGAGAAAGGTACGAATTTCCCTTATTCTCTTTCCATGAGTGCTTCTCCTTCCAGGTCGCGGAGTAAGATGCGTCAGACAGTGCTTCTAACGTTCCCAGTCCTGTGCCAACGTCTGAGGTTCAGCAGAAGACGACCAGGATCTAGAGCAGACTCCTTTCGATACATTTGCCTCAGATTATTCTTGGCCGTCCCCTGCATCTTCTGCCGGTCGGCTGTGCAAGCAGTAATTACTTTGCCTTCCTTTCTGGACGTTCGCAACACGTGCCCAAACAACCGCAGCTCTGTGACTTCTTAATCTGGAGAAGCAGTGAATGTTCGCCTAGGCGTTCTCAGATTTCTCTACTCCGGACTATGTCTGGATGCGCAAGACCAGCGATTTGTCGTAGAAAAATTATTTCAGCCGCTTGTAACCGGCATCGAAGTTTTTCAGTCATGGTTCACGACTCATGACCGTAGATGAGCGTGTGAACGAAGATTGATTTGAGCACAGAGAGCTTAGTCTTCTGAATCAGCTTTGTTTTATCCATATCCGTTCAGGCTAGTTAACGCAGAACGCCAGTGGCTATTTAGTCTGCCAGTAGATTGCTTCCTCCGTTTATCTGTAGAGAGCAGCGTGCAGGACAGCGATAAAGCGCTAGGCTTATCGTTTTAAATACGTTCATACGTGCGCTGTACTCATCGCACTGGGCAGCGAACCTTTCCAGAGACCGTTGCATTTCAGAAAATACCAACAAAATAAGGTTGTCTGCAAACAGCAACCTTCTATTCTCGACAGCTCCTACTCTCGTACACTTATCGTCCTGACTTTACCTGACTATTCTGTCCATGTACAACACGAACAGTGTAGGGGACAGAGCGCAACCTAGGCAGATACCAGTGCCAACGCATATAGGTCTCGACTAAACGCTGTTTACTCTGTCACAGCAGCTGCTATAAATATATGGTGACTGTGTAGCCAGGAGCATCTGTCCATTAGTCCCGTATCTTTGCAGGCATGCCCTGGATTGTTGCGCGGGTTTTGCCTAGTTCCGCGAAACACGTAAACTGAATGAGCGAACTCCTACAGTTTCTCCATAATCTGGCGTAAGCGAATTCTTCGTCTGATGTGCTTCGGCCGAACTCGAAGACGCACTGCGCTCTTCTTAGAGTCAGTTGTTTGTCGGCTCCTCCTTTCTAGCAGCTTTACAAAGATGTTTCCTGGGAGGCTCAAAAATGTAATTCTCCGATAATTGGAGCCCTCCCTATTGTCTCTCATCTTTAATAGGAATACTACAATCCCCGTTCTCCCATCCGCTGGTGTCTTCCCCGTAGCCACTGGTCTTTGACAGACGCCCTCCCCGTTCGCCTGATGCTTTAAGGATTTCGGGATGATTTCATCGATTCCGGCAGTTTTTCCACTTTTCAAATTTTTCACCGTTTTTTACTATTTCATCTACAAAGATACTAATATCTGTTTCCTGCTGCTCTCCAGGCGAGATTTCATGCAATTTCTCGGGGTGAAGAAATTCCTCATAGTACTCCCTCCATCGCCGAAGAATATCCTCATCCTCGGTTGGAGAGTTTCCAGACTTGTTCAGGACTCTTAGGTGGCCCTTTTAAATTCGAACATGGCGGATAGTCTGCCGGAATACCTTATTTGCCGTCTGAAATTTCGACCGTACTTTCTCTGCCTAATTGCGCGCTTCTTCATACCACGTGTAACTTGAATGTTCGTTGCTTCCAAGCTATCTTCTGAATGCAGCTTTCTCACTGACAACCACTTGTACCTCTCGTATCCAGCGGGAGGTCGTTTCTGACCTCCATGCGGCAGCCTAACCCTTTTCAAACCGCAGCATTCGGCGACAACCCCGAGTAAGCCGGATTCTGTTAAAGCCATCGTGCGATGGTGTTTGCAAGTTTCGTCCTCGTGTCCGCGGAAGATATTGTTTCCCATTTGATTCTCTGGTTGCGTGCACCACCAGGTCTTCGCATGGTAGTTCATCTCTCATAGCATGGCATGCCAGCAACAACGTGGTGATCGATTGACGGCTCTGTGTCTGTCTTAACGCGTACATCCATTACAGAGCATCTTAAGTCAGACGATACGATTATATAATCGATTATCGACTTCTGAGCACAAGCTTCCCGGTACCAGGTATGCTGATGCACGCTTCGATGTCCAAGAAGGTGTATATAATGGACAACCCGTTGTTCATACAAAACTGCAACAACTTTACGCCGTTACTGTTGAGGTCACTAGGGCCGTTCTTTCCATTTACGGTTTTCCACTTTTTAGTGGCTTCGAAATGCTCATTGAAATCGTCCATTAGAGTGATGCATACAGTAGTCGGCATTCCACTTCCTCAAGTAAAGACGCATGATTTCTTTGTATTGTGTGCATAGGCCTGTAATAATGTTGGCGCTGTACCATGTTGTATCTTCAGTCGGAAGATTGTCATTCTTCCGCTGACAAAGTTCCATTCAGTGACTCTGTCAGCCAGGTTGGGTTCTACTAGATCACCAACACCAGCATCAGCATGCATCGTATGTCAGGCCCTGAGTAAAATAGCTTCCAGCTCCAGTGGTCCAGAATTCCAGAGCCATGGCCAGAGATCATCTGTTTTGGATTAGTACCTTGCAACCTCAACTAGCTCCTGCTGTTTCCTTCTGAGTGAGTGACGGATTTCTACTTTTTATTTTATCGGTCAGTTCAGAAATAGGAGGTCATTCGTCAAGCCGGTGGAGATTGTCATTGCGCATGGGTGTGAGCAATCTCTTAACTTCATCATGATGTTGAATTATTTTATCTCCTGTTTTTGCCCTACCCTAATTATTGGAGTTTTCAGTGTTCTAGTTTTCATTGTCGCCGGCTGTATCAGATATAGATTAATTATCATATTGGAAGCCAGGGCAATAATCGAAAACCTTCACCTTTAGCACTGGTATGTTTTGTTCTACCCGTCGCTTATTCGTTTTACAATAATAAAGATAGGTCTTGAACAACGCCGCTGAATGGTAAAGTGTCAGAGTAAATGAAACTGCTGCTCTTCTAGAGTTAGTGAGTTATATTAAAATTTTGATCTTCATATAATCAATGTTCTCTCTGTAATTTCAGACCTTGCGTCCACTTCTTTGTTCAAGCATGCAGTGATCGAATTAAAGCATTTCTTGTCCAAAGGGGTATGGTAGAGAGTATTTTTCTTAGGCACGACGACTTGTCACAAGCCCTGAGTAATCGGTTATTAAAGTAGTGATATTCAGCGACTGGCAAACTTCGTTACGCTTTTAAAGCAAAAATTTGAAATTTTCAACATTTTACTAAAGAGTACACTTCTACTACAAATCAGAAGTTTTGAAACACCGTCAGTTTTAGTCTTGTGTAATCATAGTTAGGATTTCATCAAGTCGGCTCTTTGAATAAATGACAAAGTTACGTGGGTTCGAAGAATGGAAAATTTAACGGTTGCTTGATGGAAGATATCTGTAGTTGTGCAAACATTCTGTCTACGACATCGTTTAAATAGTCTAGACTGGAGCAGTCCTGCCTGATATTAACCCATAGCTTCTTTTTTGTTGTTATATCCCATATTGACGCGTAACGGAGGATGACATTGGACATTCCATATCGCATGATCCGATTGCTCCTTCGAGTTGGCTGGAGTCGCACAGGCACAGCGGATGTGGTCACTGTCGTTGACTTATCCCGTTGCTTTATGACTTGAGCTGTTCTGTTCTGTGTTAAACTGGTAATTTTTGTATCGTTGCGTTTCCGCTTAATAAAATTCGCCGATACCGTTGGACTCTCTTGCAGACGATGTCACCAGCTCTGTACCCAAGCTTTGTCATCCAGGCAGATCCAACTACACAAAGTTTGAGGTAATTCACAGGCGACATCCCCCATATGATGCAGGATCTTTGTCGATCTTGTTCAGGATTCAACAGTCGTTTCACTCTTTTAGCATTCCTTTTAAAATGTGCTACACTCAGTGCACCATGCTTGTCAATTCTCAGTAAAGTTTTTTGATCGCATTTAAACCAACTGGTGAGATTCTGTGATTTCTTGAAGAAGACCGGCGAGAAGAATTGCTGAACTTGTGCTCCACGACATGGTTTGAAGCTCACTGACCTTGGAAACTCTAGAAACTGAGCCAATACTCTTGATTTCGTGAATAAGAAGCACCGTTTAAAAAGTTCTGTTGCTCATGCCGTCAAAAAGGCTAGACAGAAAACATTTCCAAATCTGGCAGAGAGCCACAATAGCATTTCACGCGAATATTTGACGAACTCTGTCCCAGGTTTAAAGTGACTACAAGCAAGTCACAAATCCTGAAGAAAGACCTCCCCGGGTCTTCTTCATATTGTTTTGT